GCTGGTTTGTTGAAAAAAAAAAAAAAAAGTCTGTTGAGTATACCTAGTAAAGTGTATGGTAGAGTTATTATCGAAAGAATTAATAGTAAGACAGAAAGTAGGATTGGTTTTTGTACTGAAAATAGCTTGATATTGAGCTCAAGGTAGCGGAAATGTTCGATTTTTGCCAATGCTCAAGAGTAAAAGAAATCATGTCACTCACGCATCCAATACACATCAGCTGGTGGGTCTAATATACATTCATGAATGTGCTGATATTATTTATACAATTATTACAATATCGCATAAGAGTAAATCTATTTTTTTGTGTGAAAAAAATTGTTTATGTGAATAAAAAATCAAAATAATTCATCTGTAAAACCTGGAAATGTAACTAATAAAGAGAGGAAATGTTATTTTAGTGACTGGAATTCCTGCATTGTTTATTCTGGACCCTATTTTGAATCTGGAATACAGTGGTCCCTTGTTTTTCGTAATTAATCCATTCCAGAGTGTGACTATTATCGAAATTGATGATTTGCGAAACTATGTAAATACAATTAATCTGTTCCAGATACCCAGCCCCAAACCCTTCAAAATCCCTCTTCTGGACAAAATCTGGCCACAAATTTCTCCTAGCAGAGTTCAAAGTCCTGCAAGTCACTTCCTCCCAAGCCTTTTGCAATGGAGGATACTGAAATGATCTTTCCAAAACTCTCTTAGGGTCAATTGAGTGTCTGAGGTCACATTAAAGCACCTTTGAAACATTGCTTTGGTGTAGAGTTTTTTAAAGTTTGAAATGATCTGCTGGCCCATAGGCTGGAGGAGAGGAGTGGTATTAGGGGGCAAGAACTTTACTGTGATGAAATCAAACTACTCCACAATTAGATCATCAAAGTTTGGAGGATGAGCAGGTGCACTGTCTATTAGCAGGAGGCACTTGAGTTCCAATTTATTTTCCAGGAGGTATTTCTTCACACTGGGGTCAAACGCTTCATTGAACCACTCGACGGAAATGTCCCTCATGACCCATGCCTTATTATTAGCTTTCCAAAACACACACAACTTACTCTTCATGATGTTATTTTTCTTGAACACTCTGGGATTTTCAGAGTGATACACTAGCAAAGGCTTCACATTGAAATCCCTACTAGCATTACTACAAAACATGAGAGTTAGCCTGTCTTTCCTAGGCTTGTGTGCTGGGAGTGCCTTTTTCTCCTAAGTTATGTAGGTCCTGTTTGGCATTTACTTCCAAAAGAGGCCTGTTTCGTCACAACTGAACACTTGTTGGGGTTTGAATTGTTCAGTCAGTATGTACTCCTTGAATTCACTTATGAATTTTTCAGCTGCATTTTTGTCAGAATTGGCAGCCTCACCATGCCTTATCACACTGTGTATGCCACTACGTTTTTTAAATCTCCCAAACCAGCCTTTGCTGGCCTTAACCCTTTGACTGTCTCAACCCTAAATCTTGAAGTATCTCCTGATGTCACAAAATGTTTGAAAAAAAAAAAAATATGAAATGATAGAGAATCTTTTCCCGATGATAATGACACCAAAAGTATGAAATTTGATGAAAAACTTACGGAATTATGCTCTTGCGAAGTTAGCAACTTTGGTGACATTTATGCATTGGCAATTTCGCCCACTGAGCCCTATTTTGTGCCAATTCCATTGTTCCAGTAGACCAAACTTATAGCTATTTCTTTAGAACTCCACTTGTTCTATCAACTGAGTACAAGAAACCACCCATTTACTGATTTCAACTACCCAATAAAGTGGTCAGAATTGGCAATTTGGCCAATTTCATGCAAATTAAAAAATATGTAAATTTCAAAATAGGGTCCAGAATGAACAATGCAGACATTCCTGGCACTAAAATAACATTTTCTCTGTTCATCAGTCATGTCTCCAGGCCCCTCTTATATTACTCTTGCTTTCTATTTTGATTTTTTATTCACACAAAAAATAGAAGATTTACTGTTATGCAGACTACTGCATTATTGTAAAAATGGTATAAATAATATCAGTGCACTAGTGAAAGAATATAAGACTCCCCAGTTGAAGTGTATTAAACGTGTGGTGCGATTTGCTTACTCTTGAACACTGGTAAAAATCGAACATTTCCGCTATTTTGAGCTCAATTTCAAGGTCCTTTTCATCATGAAACTAATCAAAATCATCTCTATTTCTGTAATATGTTTTCCATTCTATCAAATGAGACCAAGAAAATAAGAATACTACTATAAATACTACAGGAAAATACACCTCACAGTTGGCGTTTTAATCCAAAACCACGATCAGAGTTTTTTTTCTCCATAACCTCAGCCAGATTTTTTTATACAGTGCACACTGACCACACAGACCCATTCTCTCACATGTGGACCTACCAGTTTTCTCCTGCTTTTTTTTGAAGCCGCTAGAACTATTGAGTACACATGTATACGTCCAAACACGGCTCAAAAAAAATAAGGGCCAAAATAGCAAAGGGTTAAGAGATGAGGGAGGCAAATGTTGAGGCATTTTGGGGAGACAATAAACTTCATCACAAGGCAAAAAAGGTAATGCCAATAGAGTGTGAAGAAAGTTTTTGAAGGATGGAGCAGGAGAGGCTGAAGCGCAGAGATGTTTTTTTTTGAGGGAAATGTATGGTGTTTTCAGGGGGGGTGAGGCATTACCAAAAAGTTTTTATTAGGGGGCTGAGGGGGGTTTTGCTGAGCTGATAAAAAAAAAAAAAAAGATCCTAGGGGGCGTAGAAATTTTGGGCTGAAGGAGAGCGGGGTAAAAATCGGCTCTGACCACCAGGGGGCCCTGGTCACAGACCGGGCTGCGGGGGCTTTTGACCCCCCGGAACTTCCCCCAGGAAACTCAAGTAAACTTGGAAAAGGGGGGAAGGAGCACAAAGGATTTTTTTGTTTGCTGGGGGGCTTGGAAATCCAATAAGGTCAGTGACAATTAACCCTTTGATTGTTTTCGACGTATAAAACGTCTTCGAGCCAATTTTCTGACGTATATATACTCAAAAATTCTAGGGCTTCAAATCAACGGGGGAAACTGGTAGGCCCACATGTGAGAGAATGGGCTGTGGGGTAGTGTGACCACATAAAAAAAATCCTGCAGCCCCCTTGCATGAGAAAAAAACTCTGATGTTTTTTTGGAAAAAAACCCCACTTTGAGGTGTATTTCATATATATTTATCGTTGTTTCGTTTTTTCAGGGTTTAGGTGTAAAAGGGAAAAACTTACAGAAATAGAGATTTTTCATTATTTTGACGATGAAAACCCCTTGAAACTGAGCTCAAAGTAGGGGAAAAAGTTCGATTTTTTCAATGTTCAGGAGTAAAAAATCAAAACCACACTCCAAACACATCAACTGGGAGTCAAATTTTTTTCACAGTGCACGATTTATTTATACCATTTTTACAATAATGCAGTAGTCTGCATAACAGTAAATTTTTTATTTTTTTGATGAATAAAAAATCAAAATAGAAAGCAAATAAAAAAAAGGGGGGGCCTAGAGATTGACAATGAACAGGGGATATGTTTTTTTAGTCCCACAATGTTCCCTTGTTTATTCGGCCTTTTTTAAAATTTGGGAAATTTTTTTTTATTGTGGAAATTGGCCAAATTGCCAAATTTTCGCCCACCAAATTGGGTAGCCAAATTAGAAATGGAGGTTCTTGTACCCAGCTGAAGAAAAAAATGGAGTTCAAAAGAAATAGCTATGAGTTTGGTCAACGGACCAATGGAATTGGCTGAAAATAGGGCTCAAAGCGGGGAAAACGCCGAACCAATGTCCCGAGACCGCTAACTTCGCGGGAGCATAATCCGATTTTCGACCAAATTTCGAACTTTTGGTGCATTACCATCGAAAAAATTCTCTACATTTTATAAGAAAAAAAAAACAATTTTTTTTTTTTCAAAAAAAAGAGCGAAAAAAGAATGAGTTTCAGAAAGGGGCCCGAAAAGTCAAAGGGTTTTAAAAAGGAGTGGTAGGCCAAGATTTTTTTGATTTGACATGCTGTTGGAAAAATGTGAGCAAGGTAACATTATGAAAATTTAGGGGAAAATGGTTTGCTGGAAGGGGGGGATGTTGCGACTAATTCGTTTAGTCATGATGTGATTTAATGATTTACAAAAAAGAGTATTTTCTTTGTAGGTCACCCTATTCAGTGTGACATGGTCAAGGGTTAAAAAAAAAAAATATAATGACCCAAAACTTCTTTTTTTAAAAAGAAAATTTTTCCCCGTGGGGAAATGATCAAACGCCCGCGCACATCAAAACCTTTAAGCTCAATTTATAATTTCCGTGATTTGGGGACCGGAGATAACTTAAAGACCCCCCAAGACTCCTTTCCATCTAAGGATCTTTTTCTGCTGTTTTCCCCGCTGGAAAGGTGCCCGTCTATACTCGGCACAAGTACCTGTCACGCGGTTCACTAAAAAATTTTAATCCAGGGGAAATAATAAATAATCCCAAAATTTATATAGCCCAAAAATACCAAAAACAAATTTAAATAAGCTGTTAATCACCCCATAAATTTTTAAAAACATGCTAGTACTGTTACATTTAAAAAAGCTAAACATTTCCCGAATCAAGGATTTAAAAGGATAAATCTACTATAAAAACCTACAAAAATAAAAAAAAAATTATATTGAAAATTTAAAACAAGAAATATACTATGCATTATGATAATTTTTTACAAAATTCTAACAAATACTGGTTTACAGAGATACACAACAAAATAAAGTAACTGCTAAACAGGTAATTAATCGATGCTATTACCCGCTAAAAAGGTATTTCACACACAACCCAAAAACTTCCCCCAGACGTAGGGCTCTTTCCCCAGCAGCAGACGGGAAAAAGTCTGGGACCTCTTTACACTGGTTTTTCCCGGGTTTGGGGGCGGTCCCCCCGACCCTTGGGGGTGCGAGGGGCGTGCGTGAAACCCCGCCGATGGGTGACAGGGGCATAAAAAGCATCGTGTTGGTCTCCTTATCGGCCTCTCGACCACTGACAGGGTCCCCTCAACAGCTGTGTCCTCCTGTGCAAGCTGCAAAATTGCCCATCAGCACAACAATCGCAATGGGGCAGCCCTTTCTAACAAAATCATTAATCCAACATCAAACACCTTGAGTGTTTATATTCACTTCATTAATGCAAAAGTTACTTTATTGCAAAAGTAAACCTATACTTATACCCACCCCTATGCACCAAAAGACACAGAACCATGAAAGAAGTAACAATAATAGGACTAACATAAGCATGTGAGCTCAAAAACATTAAAGGTGAAAAAAAAATCATGCAAAGAGAGAGCAGCATGTTATTTTAACTTTTAAGCAAAAATTAATAAAAGGCATAGCATTTAAAAGTAAAAACAGAATACAAACATTCCAAATTATCACAAAAAATGGAGGCACACCAAAACAGGAGTGAAGAAAATGATATGCCTCTAAAAACAGAAATAACTGCCACATAGACATACATATTCAAGCACACCCAATAAGTTAACTTACAGCATTCTCCAAAGCTTCTTCCATAACTTCTTCCCGGCCTGCTTCTAGCTCTTCCTCCTCCTCCTCTTCATCATCATCATCATCATCAGAGTCTATCACATGCTCAAAGTCCTCTGAGGTGAGGTGGAGGTTGAGACGCAAGGCTTCGGGCCCAAGGTTACGAGTAAGAGTAGAGGTTTGTGATGATATTATCGTGGATTCATCACTGCTCTCCTCCTGTTTGAGTCACAAGAAAATATTTAAATATCAAAACATTAGCATGTAGAAAGTCAATATGGTGGTACCCCGAGTTTCGAACTGCTCCCAACTCGAACAATTATTCAAGTGTATATTTGTGTGAGTTTGTAAGTGTATTTTTGGGGGTCTGAAATGGACTAATCTAATTTACATTATTCCTTATGAGAACAGATTTATTCAGTATTGCCACTCGAACAGCATTCTGGAATGAAATAAGTTCGAAACTTACTTCATTCCAGAATAATAATAATAATAAACATCTTTCCATTTCTCTCTACTATAGCATAGAGCAACTGTACAGTCTAATATGGAAAACAGTTAAAGAAACCTAAATAATAGAAGACACACAATAAAAGTGTCAGGATGCAACAGAAAAATGAAAGATTGGGTTTTAAAAAATGTATGGAATAACTGACTTATCCACATATTGGGTTTTAAAAAATGTATGGAATAACTGACTTATCCACATATAGGTAGTAGGTTGGTAGACAGCAACCACCCAGGGGGGTACTACCGTCCTGCCAGGTGAGTGTGAAGCGAAAGCCTGTAATTGTTTTACATGATGGTAGGATTGGTGGTGTCTTTTGTCTGTCTCATAAATTTGCAAGATTACAGGTACTCTTGCTACTTTACTTAAAATTGGTCACACTACACTTTACATGTACATTTTATTTTTAACACTTCTGTGTTTTTTTTGATTTTTCTTTAGTTTTGGTCTTACTACTTTTCCTTTTATACCCCTGGGAAGTGGAATAAAAATCTTTTCTCCAAAACATGGTGTTGAAAAAGTCAACTAAAATGCCGGGGGGAACAATGGGCTGAAACCCCTTTTCCTGTAATAAAACAAAAAGTATAAGAAAAAAAAAAAAAAATTTTAAAGTGGGAGTTGAATGGGAGGACGTTGTGCAAATGAAAAAAAGAGATGATTTAGTGTTTGAATGAGAAAAAGCTGGTGCCCGGGGGCTTTAAGTGAAAAAAAAGTGAAGGGGGGTGGGGAGTTACAGTGGAGAGGAAAAAAATGGGATTAAGGTTGGGTTTCAAATAGAGTTAGAGCTAAAAGGAGAGTAGAATAAAGTGAAGGATAAGTTTTGGCAGGAAAAGGGGATTTTAAATGTATTAATTCAAGGTTTTTGTGGAGTAAAATAAGGTTTGGTTGAAAAGTGGGGTTTTAGTAACATTATGCACCGGGGGAAGAGAGAAGGTAGAGGAGAGGGAGAGAGATTTTGGGAAAAAGTTTTGGGGAATGCATGGGGAGTTTTTAACCAGTGTGAGGTAATGGGTTGGGGGGTTTTAAGTAAAAAAGGGGCAAAAAAAGTTGTGGAGGAGTAGTAGGGTAAATTTTGGGGGCCCGGGGGGAAATGAAAAAGGGGGGCCTTAATTGGCTATGTATAGAAAGAGGTTTTGGGAATAAGTAATGAATATTTTAGAAGGGAGAAATAAATTAAAAGGTATGATATAGCATGTAAAGAAAGTGTTTCTTAGATTATGTATTGGTGGATAAAAGGTTGAGGGTAGGCTCCCGGATTTCAGTTTTTAGAGGGGCAACGATTATCACATATTATTTGTTGTAGTAAATTGAGTAAGAGGTAGATGGGGAAAAAAGGGAAAAAAGGCAACAACAAGCAAGAGGAGGTGAAGGATAACCTAAGGGGAGGAGTTCGGGTGAGATTAAAACAACTTTGCCAGAGAGGTGGGCTGGGGCAAATATGGTAGTGGGGGGGGGGGGGGGGTTAAAAGGGTTGGGAAAAGTTTTAAAAAAGAAGTATTGAATGTGGGGCAGAAGTTTGTGGTTATAGGAGGGTGGGGAGGAGGAAAGAGGGTAATTTGGGGGAATGATGAAGTAAAGGGTGTGTTAAAAAAGAAAAAGTTAGTTTGAGGGTTTTTACAAAGTAGAAGGTTATAAGAAGGTATATGGAGAGTAAAAGAAAGGTGAAGAAAGTGGTGAGAGAGTGCAAAAGGAGAGCAGATGATACAGTAGTAGAGGCACTGTCAAGAAATTTTAATGGAAATAAGAAAAATTTTTGGAGTGAGTTAAACAAGTTAAGAAAGCCTAGAGAATGAATGGATTTGTCACTTCAAAACAGAGTAGGGGAGTTAGTAGATGGGGAGATGGAGATTTTGGGTAGATGGCGAGAATATTTTGAGGAACTTTTAAATGTCGACGAAGAAAGGGAAGCGGTAATTTCATGCACTGGCCAGGGAGGTATACCATCTTTTAGGAGTGAAGAAGAACAGGATGTGAGTGTGGGGGAGGTGTGTGAGCATTATGTAGATGAAAGGGGTAAAGCAGCTGGAACTGACGGGATCATGACAGAAATGTTAAAAGCAAAGGGGGATATAGTGTTGGAGTGGTTGGTATTTTTGTTTAATAAATGTATGAAAGAGGGGAAGGTACCTATAAATGCAAAGAGCATGTATAGTCCCTTTATATAAGAGAAGGGGGACAAAAGAGTTGTAAAAATTATAGAGGAATAAGTTTACTGAGTAATACCAGGAAAAGTGTACGTTAGGGTTATAATTGAAAGATTATAGGTAAGACAGAATGTAGGATTGCAAATGAGCAAGGAAGTTTCAGAGTGGGTAGGAGATGTGTAGATCAAGTGTTTACATTGAAGCATATATGTAGAAGGTGTGGAGTTAATAAAAGTATTAGTCAGAGGGCTGAAGAGGAGTTGTTGAGGTGGTTTGGTCATTTAGAGAGAATGGATCAAAGTAGAATGACATGGAGAGCGTATAAATCTGTAGGGGAAGGAAGGCGGGGTAGGGGTCGTCCTCGAAAGGGTTGAAGAAAGGGGTAAGGGAGGTTTTGTGGGCAAGGGGCTTGGACTTCCAGCAAGCATGCATGAGCGTGTTAGATAGGAGTGAATGGAGACGAATGGTACTTGGGACCTGACGATCTGTTGGAGTGTGAGCAGGGTAATATTTAGTGAAGGGATTCAGGGGAAACCGGTTGTTTTCATATAGTCGGACTTGAGTCCTGAAAATGGGAAGTACAATGCCTGCACTTTAAAGGAGGGGTTTGGGATATTGGCAGTTTGGAGGGATATGTTGTGTATCTTTATACATATATGCTTCTAAACTGTTGTACAGTGGACCCTTGCATAGCGCTATTAATCCGTTCCTGAGAGCTCAATGTTATGCAAAATTATTGTTATGCGAATTAATTTTCCCCATAAGAAATAATTATTTTTATTTTTTTTTTTATTATCACACTGGCCGATTCCCACCAAGGCAGGGTGGCCCTAAAAAGAAAAACTTTCACCATCATTCACTCCATCACTGTCTTGCCAGAAGGGTGCTTTACACTACAGTTTTTAAACTGCAACATTAACACCCCTCCTTCAGAGTGCAGGCACTGTACTTCCCATCTCCAGGACTCAAGTCCGGCCTGCCGGTTTCCCTGAATCCCTTCATAAATGTTACTTTGCTCACACTCCAACAGCACGTCAAGTATTAAAAACCATTTGTCTCCATTCACTCCTATCAAACACGCTCACGCATGCCTGCTGGAAGTCCAAGCCCCTCGCACACAAAACCTCCTTTACCCCTCCCTCCAACCTTTCCTAGGCCGACCCCTACCCCGCCTTCCTTCCACTACAGACTGATACACTCTTGAAGTTATTCTGTTTCGCTCCATTCTCTCTACATGTCCGAACCACCTCAACACCCTTCCTCAGCCCTCTGGACAACAGTTTTGGTAATCCCGCACCTCCTCCTAACTTCCAAACTACGAATTCTCTGCATTATATTCACACCACACATTGCCCTCAGACATGACATCTCCACTGCCTCCAGCCTTCTCCTCGCTGCAACATTCATCACCCATGCTTCACACCCATATAAGAGCGTTGGTAAAAACTATACTCTCATACATTCCCCTCTTTGCCTCCAAGGACAAAGTTCTCTGTCTCCACAGACTCCTAAGTGCACCACTCACTCTTTTTCCCTCATAATTCTATGATTCACCTCATCTTTCATAGACCCATCCGCTGACACGTCCACTCCCAAATATCTGAATACGTTCACCTCCTCCATACTCTCTCCCTCCAATCTGATATCAATCTTTCATCACCTAATCTTTTTGTTATCCTCATAACCTTACTCTTTCCTGTATTCACCTTTAATTTCTTCTTTTGCACACCCTACCAAATTCATCCACCAATCTCTGCAGCTTCTCTTCAGAATCTCCCAAGAGCACAGTGTCATCAGCAAAGAGCAGCTGTGACAACTCCCACCCTGTGTGTGATTCTTTATCTTTTAACTCCACGCCTCTTGCCAAGACCCTCGCATTTACTTCTCTTACAACCCCATCTATAAATATATTAAACAACCACGGTGACATCACACATCCTTCTCTAAGGCCTACTTTTACTGGGAAAAAATTTCCCTCTTTTCTACATACTCTAACTTGAGCCTCACTATCCTCGTAAAAACTCTTCACTGCTTTCAGTAACCTACCTCCTACACCATACACTTGCAACATTATGGTGTAAGAAATAATGGAAATCAAATTAATCCGTGCAAGACACCCAAAGTATGAAAAAAAAAAATTTTTACCACATGAAATATTAATTTTAATACACACAAACTGAAGAAGACATGCACAGTTACATGACACTTACCTTTATTGAAGATCTGGTGATGATTGATGGGATGGAAGGAGGGGAGTGTGTTGATGGTCTTAGTGTTTAGAAGGGGAATCCCCTTCCATTAGGACTTGAGGAGTCAAGTCCTTTTCCGGGGTTACTTCCCTTCTTCTTTTAATGCCACTAGGACCAGCTTGAGAGTCACTGGACCTCTGTCGCACAACATATCTGTCCATAGAGGCCTGTACCTCTCGTTCCTTTATGACTTTCCTAAAGTGTTTCACAACATTGTCAGTGTAATAGTCACCAGCACGGCTTGCAATAGCTGTGTGAGGGTGATTTTCATCAAAAAAGGTTTGCACTTTTAAGCCACATTGCACACATTTCCTTAATCTTTGAAGTAAGCAACTTCTTCAATTTCTCTATCCCCTCCTCCGGAGCAGTTTCCTCAGGTGTGGCCTCTTACTGTTGAAGATGATCTAGCAGCTCATCAGTGGTTAGTTCTTCATTGTCCTCCTCCACCAACTCTTCCACATCTTCCCCACTAACCTCACCAATATGAGCACTAGTTCCAGGCATTTTTTTCCTGTTCACCTGGGTGTTAGTCAACTGTTGTGGGTCGCATCTTGGGGGATAAGATTAAGGACCCCAATGGAAATAAGTTAGACAGTCCTCGATGATGCACTGACTTTCTTGGGTTATCCTGGGTGGCTAACATTCCGGGGTTAATCGTTTCTCGGTAATTGTTTCACGTTAAGCAACACCAACAACACTCTCCACATCTTCGAGTAATACAGCTGATGGTGGTGCAGCAACAACAACAGCTGACTGTGGTGCAGCAACAGCTGACCATGGTGCAGCAGCAGCTGTGGTGCAGCAACAGCTGACCATGGTGCAGCAGCAGCTGTGGTGCAGCAACAGCTGACCATGGTGCAGCAGCAGCTGTGGTGCAGCAACAGCTGACCATGGTGCAGCAGCAGCTGTGGTGCAGCAACAGCTGACCATGGTGCAGCAGCAGCTGTGGTGCAACAACAGCTGACCATGGTGCAGCAGCAGCTGTGGTGCAGCAACAGCTGACCATGGTGCAGCAGCAGCTGTGGTGCAGCAACAGCTGACCATAGTGCAGCAGCAGCTGACCATGCTGCAGCAGCAGCTGACCATTGTGCAGCAACAGCTGACCGTGGTGAAGCAGCTGACTGTGGTACGATAGTATTTTATCACCCTTTTTACTACAGGGTTGGCACTAAAACTTTCTTTGGGCCCATGGTGGCTTACTTAGCAGTTACAAGCACTATAAATAATGGAATAATACAAAATGTATCGAATGTATGCATGCAACCGGCCACCCTGGCTTGTAAACAGTGACGGCAAGGCAGGCGCTCAGGCTGGACGGACAGGTTCGGGACAGGTTCGGGACGAGTCATGTTCAGAAACAGCTGATGGTGGTGCAACAGCAGCTGACCGTGGCGCAGCAGCAGCTGACAGATCCAGCAACAGCTGACTGGTCCAGCAACAGCTGACTGATCCAGCAACAGCTGACTGGTCCACGCAACAGCTGACTGTCCAGCAACAGAGCCCCGACTGTCCAGCAACAGCTGACTGACGCTACTGCAGCACAGCTGACTGATCCAGCAGCAGCTGACTGATCCAGCAACAGCTGAACTGGTTGCAGCAGCAGCTGACTGATCCAGCAGCAGCTGACTGGTCCAGCAACAGCTGATCATGGTGCAGCAGCAGCTGACTGATCCAGCAACAGCTGACTGGTCCAGCAACAGCTGATCGTGGTGCAGCAACAGCTGATCGTGGTGCAGCAACAGCTGATCGTGGTGCAGCAGCAGCTGACTGGTCCAGCAACAGCTGATCGTGGTGCAGCAGCAGCTGACTGATCCAGTAACAGCTGACTAGTCCAGCAACAGCTGATCGTAGTGCAGCAGCAGCTGACTGATCCAGCAATAGCTAACTAGTCCAGCAACAGCTGACTGGTCCAGCAACAGCTGATCGTGGTGCAGCAGCAGCTGACTGATCCAGCAACAGCTGACTGGTGCAGCAACAGCTGACTGGTCCAGCAACAGCTGATCACGGTGCAGCAGTAGCTGACTGATCCAGCAACAGCTGATCGTGGTGTAGTATCAGCTGACTGATCCAGCAACAGCTGACTGGTCCAGCAACAGCTGACTGGTCCAGCAACAGCTGATCGTGGTGCAGCAGCAGCTGACTGATCCAGCAACAGCTGACTGGTCCAGCAACAGCTGATTGTGGTGCAGCAGCAGCTGACTGATCCAGCAACAGCTGACTGGTCCAGCAACAGCTGGACCAGTAATCACCTGGTAATCTCCTTACTGGGAGGGTGGTGTGGGTGGCTTAGGGAGGCAGGGGATGGCAATAGGTCTCCCCCGTTGATGCAATAGTGTAACCCACAGACCATCCCACCCAGCAGGCGACCAGGCGCTCAAAATCCCCCCCCCCCCTCACGCAACCGTGTTAAATTAATTTTACGAAGTGTTAAACAAAAATATGCCACAATTCTTCAATCATGCTATAACAAAAACATGCAAGACAAAATTGTGTTAAACGAAGGTCTACTGTACATAACTATTATTCCATCAAGTATTCTTAATTTCCCAAATAATCAACCCTTGAAATGCTTTACTGTTTCTAATTTCACTTACAGTAAACAAAATTTTTTTTTTTTTTTTTTGTCTTGGCCCATTCTCCTTACTTTGACATTTGAAGTTGAGACTGAAGATCGTAGGGTTGAAGATTTGGAAGACTGATCATCCCGAGTGAGGTGGTCTGGTCTCAGCATAGCAAAGTTAAGAATATTGTACCACCGGGTTTGTGGAGAGTCGAGGCAGAAGTCTGCTAGACTTATTTGAGCATATCCCTGCAAACAAATTAAGAGTGGTTCAACTTTTATAAATAATTAAAAATATTATTACAAACAAATTAAAGCTTGAGAATTTTAATTTTTGCCAATTTATCTGAAGTAAATGTTGGAATTATACTACATTAAACCCATTAACCCCTTGACTGTCGCGGTCATATATATATGTCATAGGAGATACTGTGTTTGACGTATCTATACGCATAAATTCTAGAGGCTTCAAATCAAGCAGGAGAAAGCTGGTAGGCCCACATGTGAGAGAATGGGTCTCCATGGCCAGTGTGCACCATATAAAAAAAAATCGGGGAGCCAGTGGTGCATTGTGGGAATGCCATTTCAGTCCTCATTTTTCAGAATGTCTAGTGGTAAGAAATATGTGACTCCCCAGCAAATCTGGGACTCTTCTCTTCCCAAGTGATGCTCTAACACAGATGGAAGTGTCAGTGAAGATCAATTTCATGATTTCGAGGAGTTTGAGACCAAAAGCATTGGAGGCGGAGGAGGAGGAGGAAGAGGAAGAGGAAGAGGAAGAGGAAGAGGAAGAAGAGAGAAAGAAGAGGAAGAGGAGGAAGAGGAAGAGGAGGAGGAAGAAAGGAGGAGGAGGAAGAAAGGAGGAGGAGGAAGAAGAGGAATAATAATAACAATAATACGTAATAATAATATGTAATAATATGTTCCCTTGAAGCATGAAAAACAGTTCACCCATGACAGTGACAAGATAAGGGGAGATAACATCTGATAAGAGTTGACCTTTGATGAGCATAAACGAGGGTAGTGGGAGGGTGCAGCTGATAAGAAAAGATTAGATGACCATCCCCCTCGCTTCGTTTTTGCTGGTACACTAACATTTCTGTCTGTCTATTTGTCTGTCTGCCAAGCTCCCTGTCTATCCGTCTAGCTCTCTGTCTCAGAGAGAGCCACAAGACTGCGTCATCACGTTTACTTACATCTTCAAGCAGAGTATAGCACTTTGTTTGGATTTCTTGGGTTATCCTAGGTAATTTACACTATGTATACTTGTATTTATGTGTACCTGTGGGACAGAGATAGACAGAGAGAGAGAGACAGATTGAAAGAGATAGAATGAGGGAGAAAGATAACTAGTACTATAGAATGGAGGGGAAGCAGCATCCGACCCCATTGTTTTGACAGGCAGTAGGGGGAATGAGTAATGAGACAATATGTCATTTTGACAGCTGCCGACTCCTGACTCAAAACAATTATAAGCCACACACTCGCACACAAGACAAGCTTGCTGAATGGAGATAATAGCAGTTATATGAAAGTATCTAGTGACTATATATGTGTATATATATTATAGAAACCAGAAGCAAGAAGGGAAGGCAGGAATGAAGGAAGGACGAGATGAAAGGAAGGAAAAAAGTAAGGAAGGACAGATGAAGGAATGTAGGAAGAGAGGTAGGAAAGGAATGCAGGAAAGGAATGAAGGAAAGGAATGAAGGAAAGGAATGCAGAAAGGAATGAGAAAGGAATGCAGAAGAATGCAGGAAAGGAATGCAGGAAAGGAATGCAGGAAAGGAATGCAGGAAAGGAATGCAGGAAAGGAATGCAGGAAAGGAATGCAGGAAAGGAATGCAGGATAGGAATGCAGGAAAGGAATGAAGGAAAGGAATGCAGGAAAGGAAGGAAGGAAAGGAATGCAGGAAGGAATGATGATACACAACCATTTACCTAGGAGAACTACATAACACAACTGCCTGCTAATACTTTGAAGAAAACTGCTCAGACGAGGTATTTTGTCTTTGCACATAAAAAAAAAACTTCCACAAAAATGCACACACACTGGTTTTATGTGTGAGGAGTATAAAACACCATTGTGTATGACACCATGTTTCAAAGAGTTACACAAGCTGCAGAACTTCTAGGAATATGTCCAGTGACTGTATATTGGTATATATATTATAGAATAATAGTAATAAACAATTTTTTGTATTGTTTGTTTTTGTAAACAAGTTTTGTAAACAATATATTGATAATTATGTTTGTGTGCTTATTGTGTTGTATACAATGAGTGTATATATGTACATTGCCCCTTACTTTGGTCTCACAGGCCACATAAGTTATGTGAAAAAATAAAATAGTGAAAAAAATACAAGTAAACCAAAGTTTACCGGGTGAGCGGCAGTCGCCGCTGTTGCCATATGCGGCTCATTTTCTGCAAACTTCACGCCTCTATATCTGGGTAAGTACTGATGGGAATTTTTTTTTTTTACTAAAACAATCAGAAAAATAATCATAACATTTTCATAAGAAAAAATAATTTTTTTTTTTTTTTCGAATATTTTGAACCCCGGGAAAGAACTTCGGGAAAGGGGCCCTTTCGCCCGTCAAAGGGTTAATGAAACGCAAAACAAATTTAAAAAACTCCCAAAAATGTTTTAAACCCAAATACTTTTTGGGGAAAAAGTAGGTTACTTACCACACACCCTCATCAAAATCCCCGTTTGTGTCACGACTGCCCACACTTAAACTTGCAGTGTCTTAGAGGGGGAAGTTTAAGGGGGGTTTTTGCTCGGGAAAAGAAATTTTTCCCCCCAAAGGTTGGCCTTTCTGTGTTCCCTGCCCCAAAGTTTTTGTACGAAAGAAAAATTTTGGGTTGCCCCCTGCCGGGAAAGTGACCTTAAAAAACCCCTTTTAATTTTGGGGAAACATTCCTCAGAAAAAAAACCTGCACCCAAATAAGCTTTTTTATAAAAAACACTATTCTGTACAATCATTTAGGGGCCCTGAACAGCTAAGACAAAACAAATGAAATAACTGAAACAAAATGTCCATAAATTTTTTTTTGGGTTTTAATTACATTGGGTGGCTCAAAAAAAAATTTTTCTCTTATTTTTTTGGGTATACGGGGAAAAAAATACAATTGGTTACCTCTTTATACATTTTAAACCCCGTAAAGGGTCCAAACGATATATATTTTCACTCCCCCCAGTGCCCCGAATATTTTGAAAAAAAAAAAAAATTTGTTTTTTTTAAATTAAAAAAAGAGAAACAATTTTCAAAGGTTTTAAATAGGAAAAAAAAAAATTAGGTCAGTATTTAAACCGAGATATAGGCCCCAAATGTTGGAAATTTTTGGGATAAACCTGAGGGGAAAAAAAACAGGGAGGCTGCGGCTTGAAAAAAAGGGGTTCCCGAAAATACCCTTTTTTTCTATTTTTCACTTTTATTTTTTTGATTTTTATTTTCGGGTTAATTACAGTTTTTTGTGTTCTTGCTTTTTAACCCAAAATCTTTGTTCTGACACTAGTATTAGGTACGAAATTGTACTCACAATTTTCACAAAACAAAAGGGGAAATTTTCCCCCCCAATTTTTTTTAAAAAAAAAAATTTTTGTTTCCCCCCCTTTTTTTTGGGGGGGGGAGGAGGAGGGGGGGGGGGGGGGGGGGGGGGGGGGGGGGGGGGGGAAGGGGGGGGGGGGGGGGGGGGGGGGGGGGGGGGGGGGGGGGGGAGGGGAGGGGGGGGGGGGGGGGGGGGGGGGGGGAGGGGGGGAGGGGGGGGAGGGGGAGGGGGGGGGGGAGGGGGGGAGGGGGAGGAGGGGGAAGGGGGGGGGGGGGGGGGGGGGGGGGGGGGGGGGGGGGGGGGGGGGGGGGGGGGGAAAAAGGGGGGGGGGAAGGGGGGGGGGGGGGGGGGGGGGGAGGGGGGGAAGGGGGGGGGGGAGGAGGGGGAGGGGGGAGGAGGGGGGGGGGGGGGGGGGGGGGGGGAGGGGGGGGGAGGAGGGGGGGGAGGAGGAGGGGGGGGGGGGGGGGGGGGGGGAGGGGGGGGGGGGGGGGGGGGGGAGAGGGGGGGGGGGGGGGAGGGGGGGGGGGGGGGGGGGAGGGGGGGGGAAAGGGGGGTTTTTTGGGGGGGGGTTTTTTTTTGGGGGGGGGGGGGGGGGGGCCAAAAAAAAAACCCCCCCCCCCCCCTTTTTTTTTTTTTTTTTTTTTTTTTTTTTTTTTTTTTTTTTTTTTTTCCTTGGGGCCCCCCCCCCCCTTTTTTTTTTTTTTTTTTTTTTTGGCCCCCCCCCCCAAAAAAAAAAATTTTTTTCCCCCCCCCCCTTTTTTTCCCCTTCCCCCCCCCCCCTTTTTCCCCCCCGTTTTTCCCCCCCCTTTTTGTTCCAAAACCCCCCAAAAAAAAAAATTGCCCTTTTTTCCCCCTTTTTTCCTTTTAAAATTTTTTTCCTTTTTTTTTTCCCCCCCAAAATTTTTTTTTTAAAAATTTTTAAAAAAAAAAAAAGGGGAAAAAAAACCCACCAAAAAAAGGTTTAAAGGGGGGGGGGGGGGGGTTTTTGGGAAAAAAATTTTTCAAAAAGGGGGGAAAAAAGGAAAAAAAAGGGGGAAAAAAAAAGGGGGGGGGGGGGGGGGGGGGGGGGGGGGGGGGGGAAAAAAAAGGGGGGGGGGGGGGAATTTTTGGGGGGGGGGGGGGGGGAAAAAATCTAAAAAAAAATAAGTTTTTAACTAAAAAACTCCCCCCGCGGTCATAAGTAAAAAAACAAAAGCGATTTAGGCCAACCCGGGGGGGCACCCCAAAAAAAAATTGGGGGTTTTCCACCCCCTTTGTTTTCGCGGAACAAAATTTCTGCTTTTTTGTCGCTGTCAAGCCCCTGTCACTGTCTCTCGTCTCCTCTTCTCAGGAGACCCACAAGACTGCGCTCCATTACTCACAATCTTCAGAGGTCGAATTTGGGGGGTTACCCTAGGTAATTACCTTGTAACTTAATTTTTGTGTACTGTGAGCAGAGATAAAAGAAAGAGATTACAAGAAGAACAGAGACCAGACAGACAGAGCGTGACAAAACAAAGATGACAAAGATGACAGAGATAGAGCAGATGGACATAGATACAAAAAACGGAGATAGAGCCAGGCCACCCGGGAGCCCGGCCCCCCAAAAGTGGCTACCATGCAGCTAGCTGGCCGGGCCAGCCGGCCGCCGGCCCGCCGGGGGAGCCAGCCAGCCAGCCCGCCCGCCCGCCAGCCAGCCCGCCAGCCACCAGCCAGGAGGCAGGCAGCCAGCC